CAAGAGTGAGCCCCGTGTTTTTGATGGGGAAAAGAACCACAACAAAGTGACTGCAACCACTGAAGCCGAGTTAGAATCGGAAAGTTTTCTCAATGATAAGGTTTGTTTTATACAATTTATTATCATGTACTAAAATATAAAGAAAACACGTCACTCTTCATATGATTTTAAATGTAGTCTTCGCTAAATACGAAAAATCGTTACACACAAAACAAAAAATCAAGCATAAACATTGACTTTACATAAAAAAAATAATTAAAAAGTAAGTAAATTTTAAAACAATACACAAATATATAAAAAAAGATATTACAAGCTGGTTTGAAATATAAACTCACGAGCATGTGCCACACTCAAATATTTGTTTTTATATTGTATTCTTGATTTGCTGTCAGTTTTCTTTTTTATTCAAATCTGCTTTCTTCTTTTCAATCCTGTAACACTGTAATCTTGTTCGTAAAATTAATAAAATGCCAATTAAAAATATTTTCGTTTTATTTTTGGGTTGCAAATTAGAAATGGAACGGGGTGTGATTAATATTCTTACATAAAGTTCAGTATACAGACACTTTGCAATTGAAAGTGGTAAGAACTGTTATAGAAAGTAGTACATTAGTTGAGTCGATGATGCCCCATAAGAACAAAGAGGCAAGACCAATTTACTATATATAGTAATTTAAAATATCTTCGACATGGACATTTACAGTTTTAATTTAAATCTTCACTAAAATACAACGTATTAGAACTGTGTACTTGGAGGTGTCGATAACGTTAAGTGATGTTTTGAACTTAAATCAATTTATTATTAACGCTTGAATAACGAATTTGGAAATAAATAAACATCACGGTTAAAAGGTATGACAACAATAACAACAAATAAAACGTACTTAATGAAATATAAGTCAGAAATTGACGCAATATGTCTTTAAAGATATTTATTGTGAGCAGAGAAATTGATAAAAACGTCAGACCAAATAAAATGAGAATGATCATAAAACTTTACTCAGTACTCGGAGTACAAAATGTGTGCTCGAAACACCAAATCCAGTATTTTGATTGGTTGATTTCTGAGTCTGAGTACAATAATCGTGCTCGAAAGTTTTATGACCGCAAGGCAAGGAGACAACGACAATTAGTCGATGGCGTCAGAAAAAACAAGTTGGATCTTACTACAGTTGATGATCTCGATATAACAAAAAAGTAGTGATATATGTATTATAAATGGAACACAACTGTATCTCCTTTGTTACTGGCCGCATGTGTTCTGCAAAAATAAAATGCCTATGTATCAGTTGCCCCTACTACAGATGTTAAAAAAAATGATAAACAGATCATTTGGGCGCTTTCTTTCCAAAGCTTTTTGTGTCATGAATTAATCACATGACACACTTGACAAAATCAAAGGTCTCTTTCACTATACCCCTTTTCAAATACGTACACCAATGCCTTCAACACAGAGCAAATCTCCCATCTCACTACTATTTTAAAATGGCCTTCGCATGTTATAAATGCATCAGTTTGAGCGGAATTTTTAACCTAATTACTAAATAACAAGATGAACGTAACTATATTGATTCTTTTGTATAGTGTCGGACTTTTAGGCTACTAAGTCTTAGAAAGCATACATGTAAATATTAGTTTCTTTTAAAACTTGCTTATACCTAAAAGGCATGCCTCTCTCGAAAAGAACGGTCACCTTTGCCATGTCTAACTCGATCAGAACGATCATCTGTATATCTTAATTTGATGCTGTTTCCGGAGTTAGGAAATACTTGAGAACTGTGCAGTGATTAACCCCATTTTTACAGGCCGCAATTCTGTACTACAGATGCGTTCAAAAATGGTACTGGTGAATAGTCTTTAAGGCGCTTTCATCTTGAAAATCTTGCAAGCAAGCTCAACAACACAAATGATAACGCCCCTGAATCAACTAATGATTGCACTTTTTTCAACAAAACTGTTTGTTCAAAGCAGTATAAATAACGTAAAAATATTATTGAGGTCGCTTACAAACAATAATTGGTATTATTATATACTTAGTAGTAAATACAGATAAATTGTATGTGTAATACAATAATTGGCAAGCGTGCTGTATCAGCCACCCGTGATGATATCGATATCAGCACGGTTGCAAAGGCTTTATCACACCTTTAATCTGTATGACGTCACGTCATCGATTGCAGTCACTGTTGCAAAGGCTTTATCAAACCCCTAATCTGTATGACGTCATGTCAAACCTATAATCTGTATGACGTCATTTCAAACCTCCTTACCTGTATGACGTCATGTCACATCAAAAATATGTATATAATAAAGTGTATATGATATGGCTTTTTCAATATCACACAACGTATCAACCCTCAACCAATATAATCCCTCGAGCAGAGCTCTTGGGATTATATTGGTGTCTCGGGTTGATACGGATGTGATATTGAAAAAGCCATATGATATTCTCTATTTATCAAATCAATGAATAGAAGGTTTCCCTCTAAAAAAGTAGTAATGGTATTAAACATGTTTTTGTGATATTTAAGATATAGTATGCTTATATGTTAAAGGTTTGTGTAAACGATGCAGAAATGCTATATGACCAAGTCCTCATGTGCATATTACACAAAAATATTTAAACATTGCACGACTTTGATTGAACACTTTAAGCGAATGTAATAGAACTAAGGGGACGACCATTTGATATTCTGGGGGGGGGGGGGGGGGAGGGGGGGGAGGGGCAGGAGGATTTGTTTTGGATCGGTTATTTATTTTTGTAAACTAAGAGGACAGATTATCTATTTTCTGCACTATTAAAGCAAGATTTTTCATTTTCATTAAAGCAAGGGACTGATTATTTATTTTCACAACTATATTTATAATATTCAAAAACATACAATTTTTAAATTATTTGTTTATTATAAATAATACATGTATAGTCAAGTCATTATGTACCATTTAATCAGAATTAATTATTATCCTCTGCAGAAAGAAATCTTCTATATTCCCCAATGCATGTACATGTATTGCATACATACACAGTATTAAAGTTTGGTTGTAACTAAGGCTCTTTTAAAAATATTGGCAAACATGTTTTGCCGAGCAGAGCGAGGCAAACTTTTTTTTGAAGGGTTTTTGAACCGCTGAAGGCCCAAGAAGCTATAGAACAAATGATGCAAAATCATGCTTTCTGGGTGTTCCCCAGACCCTTTCTTAAACTGAAAATGCAAGTTCTGTTTTAATAATTTTTTGACAATATTTTGGTCTCAAAGCAAAATCACGTTATAGATTCAGTGTAAGACTTAAGTTTCTAGGGACAACATCAAAAGACAAATATGCATGATAAAGCAAAAATGTAATTCACATAGTTAAGTCTGTGGCTGCTGTGTTTTTTTAAACTCATGATCAAGTTAATAATAAAATTTCTAAATTACAAAATGAATGCAACACTAACAGAATACAGAAGGGCAATCAGTGAACAAAAGACAAATAAAAAAAATCAGGGGCTACGTCTGAGGGAGAACAGAACTTGCTTCTTGCAAGGCACTCACGGTGAACACAATTTGATATGGAGACAAGCGTTTGGTTTTGAAATTTCCTACATGAGGCATTTGTCTCAATGTAGTTACAGCCCTGATTTAATAAAAGTGAGGTAAGTGTTCCTGAGATAATTAACCTCAAGTTAAATGAAACCAATTTTCTGACATTTCAAGTATATTTAAATATTATTTATACTTTTATTATTAAAAGATATGGGAAGTGTTTCCCGATTTTTTTTTTGGAAAAAAGATGAATTTATGAAGAATCTGGTGCCATCTCATACTTTCGATTAGACCTGCTGAGTTATTTATTTTCAATACATTGCAAGTCAAGTAATTTATTTTCAAACTACCACAGAACAAACCATTTATTTTTGTGATTATCAAGGCTGGGTTATTTATTTTCAAAATCCTCCTGCCCCCCCCCCCCCCCCCCCCCCCCCCAGAATATCAAATGGTCGTCCCCTAACAAATCCAACAAAAGTAATATTTGATAATAAAATACTATATGTTTTTTTATCGATAGGATTTTCTGTCTTGTTGTGTCTAAAATTAAGGAGATGTGGTATGATTGCACAATCAGCCACCAAAGACGAAGGGACAATGATATAAACAACTATAGGTCACTGTACATTCTTCAACAATGAACAAAGGACAAATCAAATGGTGTACTATAAAAGGCTCAGGAATAACAAAATGTAGACCAATTCAAAAGAAAAAACAAACAACCTGAATTAAAATGATGATAATAAACGATAAACATTTATGGCAGACATCGATCATCATCCTCTGGAGGGGCCTCGGTGGTCGAGTGGTCTTAGTAGTGGAACTACTGTATCACTAGCCTGTCAACACTGAGGTTGTGAGTTCGAATCTCACAGTGGCAGGTGCGCTAGACTCCAAGCTTAATTGACACTAGAATTGTCAGTTTTCCTGCCGAAGGTCGGTGATTCTCTTCGGGCATTCCGGCTTCCTCCACCAATACCACAATAGTGCTGAAAGTGGCGTTAAACACCAATCAATCAATCCACCTCTGGATTACAAGACTTTACATGCACAGAAGCCATTTGGCTGGGTCAAACATGCGTGTGAGCGCTCACTACCCCTTTCATTAGACAGTGCTGTAACAGTACACAAAAATTGCTGTAAAAAAAGTTTAAAATGGCTTGACTCTTGATATCGGTATTTGGAATTAAAAAAACAACACAAAAGCTAACAATACTTGATGCTACTGATAAAATGTTGTAGTTAATAGGAATTTATATGGCAAAGATTTAAAATATTTTTTTAGCGAAAAAAGTTTTTCAAATATTATGACATATCTTTTCTGAAAGTTTATTTGAAAAAGCCATAATCTTAATTCGAAATATGTGTTTCGCATTTGTGAATATTAACAGATTGAAAGTGAAAGTAAACTGTACAAAGATTTAAATAATGCTGATCATCTATATTAAACCTAGGTTAAAATACTTCCATCCCAGGATCATTCCTTTGAACCAAATCCTATAACAACAAATCAAATTCAACGAAAACAAGCAAAGCGAAATGTGGTTAAAAGAGTCCTGTACCGGAATGCTCTCTGCGAACAGTACGTTACTGCTGCGAACTATAATGGTTTGAACACTGATTTGATATACTTTATCGACGAGAACGCATCGAAGGTAGGCATAATGTGTTCAAATATATCATATATCATTATTTCATTTTTGTGTCATTCGGTTATTCGGTTATTAACAGTATCAGCACCGATCGTACACACCCTAGTATTGTTCACAATGTAAATCATATTAAGTATAAGAAAATTTGCAGAAATACTTTTTTTACTTTTTTTTAACGCAAGGATTTTTTATTTTGGAACGTAAATATAAAAATAAGAAGATATGGTATGACTGCCAAATGATATGACAACTATCCACCAGAGACCAAATGACGTAGATGACATCGTACGGCCTTCAACAATGAGTAAAACTCATGCCGCATAGAAATTGAAAAAAATGTAATGTAAACGAGGAAACTAACGGTCTTATTTATGTACAAAACGAATAAACGAAAACAAATATGATAGACTGTGACCAAAACAACCACTGAATTATAGGCACATGACTTGGGACACGCACATATAGAATTTAATAATGCTTTCATATGTGCAGAACGTTATTAAATCCACAACGATAATTTTGTTGACTGAAGTAATACAAGAAATTGCAATATTATCTCATATCTTGGATTGTTGGTAAGCTGGACAGGTGTACAGAAAAAAATATGTGCTCTTTTGATAAAAAGACTTGACGAAAAGCTTTAAAAAATACTGAAATCTTTTGTGTCAATTCAGGTACCACGGATAGCACTGAACAGTTTTAGGGAGCTAAGAGATTATCTAAAAGAACCAATACCAAACCATCCAGACAGTGACATTCTACTGATCAGATCCTTTATAATTTGGTTGGCAGATGCATTGGGTAATGATACAGTTGAGGATTTAGAGCCACCTCCATCTTCTCCTCTGTCATACAGATCTGCTGAAGGACAAGGAAGAACCCCGGATGTATTGGTTAGACTTTTACGGCAACATAAAACTACCAGTACCACAATATTTATCTTATTATGTTGGTATGTTTAAAGAATATGTACTACTGAATAGATTGAAACTGGTCGGGTTGGTGTAAAATATAACGATTAGAACAACAGTTGTTATAAAGTTATGTTATCCAAATTGAAAGATCAGTGCTAATGAAATCGAACAAAGACATACAAACAACACAGTACAAAATTCTTAATACCTTGTCTGACAATATCGGACCCGAAAGAACCACATTAAGGATCTAATCCTTTTGGGTCTTTTTCTGCGTCTGTGTGTGAATCCACGAGAGCTCCTCGAGTGCAGCAGATTTCGTGTATTCAAATTTTACTGCCCAAATATCAAAGTCGGGTATTGAGCCGAACCAACATGAAAAGGAAATATTTACGTTAATGCGTCCATATATATTTCATCTGGTAAACATTTCTTAGAGAAATTCGGAGAAACAGCATAACTTATACTTTACTGAAGTATCGAACATATCTCACATCCATATTCATATATTTGTAATGGTTAGCATTTTAGGTTTTTTAGTTGAGTTTGTTTTCCTGTTGAACCGTAGGTACCATTAACTATTCTAATGCATTTTACGACCAGTACTTATGTTGACTGTTATTTCTCATTTGGTCATTGTTCGATTTTTGTCATGGCCTTGTCAGCTTATCTTCTTCCGCTTCTCTTATAATGTATGAATTATTTCGGTTCTCCGGATATTGCTACTGATATACATTAACTATACGTACGAATTATAATTAAGCAATGTTACCCATTTTTTTTTTTTTTGGTAAAAAGAAAAAAGTCCGTTTATTTTTTACGTTTATTCTAAAATATTCTGTATACATGTCAGTGAGTGTTATTTTGTAATATGTAAGTCATTTAATGACGTCACCACGGTGTAAATGAAATTCATAATAATCAGAATGACTCATAATGTCAAACTACAAATGGAGAGAATGTAACACATTTCGTCTTCTTAGCTTACTCCATATTATTTTGCAGGGCTGCTGGTATTAAATGTGACAAGATAAGTGGTGTCTGTAGGAGTGACGATGGAAATAAGTTACTTCCTTGCGCATGGGTAGCAGTTTTTATTAAAGACACGTGGCAGATTGTTCATCCATATCGCATATGTCGAACACTATCGGGGAATATACCAAAAGACATGTTTAAAACATACAATGAAATCAATTCAGATACAAATAAGATGATAAAGAAAACATTCTTAGATCATTATGTATTGTCAAATCCAGAATATTTTATCTACGAATGCTTCCCTGATGAAGAAAAATGGCAGTTGCTCCTTGAATCAATAACACAAGAACAGTTCATAGACCATGAAATGTTCTTTCCTCCTTGGTGGAGAACGGGTCTAAAACTTACTACTCATTTAAGCCATCGGATAATCTGTGACGATGGCAGAATAACGCTGGGTTTTATGGGAACATACGAATCCGTATATGAACTGGTACTATGGTATAATTTAGAACTGGTTGAGACAGACTTAGATTTAAAAATTGAAAATGATAACTTTTTACAAAAGTTTGTTTATCTTATAAGAAACGAATCAACATGGACATGTGATATACTGTTTCCTTATACTGGTACATACAAACTTGTATTTTATGCCGGTAAATATGGCGAGCCACTACTTAAAGTACTTGATTTTGATATCGATTGCAATGTTTGTCATCCTGACCCTGTTCCGCTTCCGATTAATACTAGCGCTATTGGCCTGGGACCTGGTCCGTTCATGTACTTCTCTGGGCTATCTCATCCATCATGCAGATCTGGAATACTGCACATCGTATTGAGCAGACATTTTCAGATTAAATTCCGGATAGATAATAGAATGTCTGATTTAATTTCCATAAAAGCAAATGTGTTGTCTTCAGAAGCAACATCGAACCATTCCGAGGATTACGAAGTGACCAATGAAATAACCCAGTGTTGTTTAGTACAAAGGAGAACATACAAAGAGGTAGTGATTGACGTATTCCCACCAGAAACCCCAGGACAGTACATATTGCAGATTTGTACTGAAACGAATGGATATTTAGAATCGGAGACAAAAACGGCATGTTATTACCTGTTGATCTACGATGAACTTCCTTTGCAAGAATCGCACGAGGTATGTATACGATTAACTGATGTGGATACTTACAGGGCAAGAAATAAGGGCCTTTTGCATAAATTTTAACATAAAACATGAAAATCATTTTTTTTCAAGTAAATACGTTGCTTTGGACCCTACCCTGTATAGAACAAATTTTGTTCGTTGAGGTATGTTCTCGTTTTTTTCTTCTTTCGAAACTTGGCATCGGATATTGCTACTACTACTACTACTACTACTACTATTTTCTCTGGAAACCGTCGACCAATTAATGAAAATTAACGTTCAATTCTTGCCAAGGGTTAGAGTTGGATAAAGAAGATTAAATTGAAGTCAACTTTCAAATTAAATTAATCAAAGTAATTGGATTGTTGCGACAGACCCTTTCCAATCAAAATTGACGTTACATTTCTGAATGCATTGCATTGGTTTTTCTCCTCCTAACGTGCATCCAATGTACTAATCGAACCGAAATAAACTTATGAAACCGATTTTTGTTCAGCAGATAGTTATGAATTTTGGACTATAGACTTTCATCAGCTTAGACTTGAGATCAGAAATATATGAACATACGTATATATGTTGTTTGATGTATATAAAATCATATGTTTTTGACTTGTTATTGAATTTGCTTGAATGTTTGCTCAGAAGGATACCGAGATGTTGTATAAGTCTTTAATGAATAATTGCTGTTGTATTTGCCAGTTTTCATGTAATATGCAAAATCAACTGCAATCAGATACAATGAATTCAATAGATGCTTTGATCTGATATAAATATGTGTGGATAATATGGTTATTGTTGTTTTTTTTTTCAATTGAAGAACTGTGGTATCAGAACAGCTCGTAAGATGTTAAACACATCAATAGAAGGCAAGAACGTTAACGAAATATTATTCCGTATTCAGGACTGTGCCAGCAAGAAAATAACAGAGGTTGACCTAGATGTTCAGAGAGCTAGAGGAAAAGCTGCAATTCTCAACATTAAACAAAGTAATGGATAGTTTTGTTTTTTATATGTTTTTTGTTTTTCAAGTTAGCTATACAAAAACATTTTTTATATTGATATACGGCAGCAAATCCTATTGTTTTTAGAACAATAGTTCAGTCGATCTACTTTGGATAATTTTGTAGGTTCCTTCCTTTATATCACTTTAATTACAGTACAATGTAATTAAAATGTAAAGGTACCAAAATTAATTTGATGCCATTTGTGCACATTTAGAATTCTATTTATTTCTCGTTTGTTTTGCTTGAAACTAATCGTTGGAAATTGAATAATACCAAACGTTGAAGAACACTAAACCCTAAATTTCACGCTGACACAAAAGAAAATACGTGTCAATCCAGCGGGAAATCTCAGATTTAAACAAATATTACTCTGACTTCCTCTTCTATTTCAATTGTATGTTTATCTAGAAAAACTACACAGAGGTCGAAAAGTGGCTGTCGATCCACGGCTGCATCATTCGAACATAGTAAGACAATCGGAATATGAAGCAAGATTACATAGACTTATAAATCTTCTAGAAAGACTGCTCTACTATCTACAGCATGGTGATAGCTCAGAAACATGGACAACTGTGAGCAGACCACAATCAGTGAACAAGGAAACAGTCGAAAAGACTGAAACAGTTAATCAAACAGTGAATCTGCTGCTAACTTTATTCAGCAAGTCAGAAGAGAAGGAAAAGGTATATATGTATATGTATTACCTTTTATTTATCAACTATACAAAATCCAAAAAATCATGAATTGTTTTAATTAGTAAGTAATAGTTGAAATAATTTCTAATTATTTTTTAGTTGATTAACGATTTCATTGATTGAATATCAATATTACATGCAATCATGCTAACATTATCTGGAGTTCAGGACTACATAAGTCGTCACACGAAGTTTGTCTGAATAGCTGAAGTTTTTACAAAAATAAAGCTAATTACATCTAAAGCCATATAGGATATAATATTTGTGCGATATATCAAACTCTAAATGGCAAAGCGTCTAGATAAGTGAGGAAAGTATTTGCAAAGGTTTACAAGTATTCGCTATCAACAACTGAATCTTAAAGGGCTCCATTAAACACCACGTTGACATTAACAAAGACAGAAACTGACGATGTTCCTTACTTCAGACAGTCACATGTAATGCTGGTGGGTCGAACTAGTTTCTGGCCAATCTTTATGTCCCTTCTATTTTCATCTCAATTATTAAAAGAACGAACGGTAATAAAAGATTCAATTACAAACTAAGTCTGGAAAAGCAAATTACTATGAAAGCTGCAAAAAAACAATACCGAGTAACACCGTATCACAAAATAGTCTACATAAACTATAAACAGAGACATATGTAATTCTATTATAGTTCAAAGTATACTCATTCTGCTCACATAAAAATCATGATGTCTTACACTTTATTATGGTCTTATGTCCTTCAAACAATATGCCAAATGGCAAATCATGAACATGACAGAAAGCCAGATTTTCAAAATGCCCAAAGTAACTTGTGTACAGTTCCGGTACAAAAAACAGAAAAAAAATTATGTCTTTTTATATATGATAATATCCAGTAAATATGGCCTTGAAATATCAATTTACATTTAATTGTATCATGAGAAATCATACTTTCTGTTTCCGAGTTAACATTTAATATTTTTTTTTTATGTGTTCCATTATGAAGTTTTTCGTTATAAAAATATTTACGTTCTTTTGCATAACGAACCTTCTGAAAAATTGATACTCCGTAAGAAGTAGCCGATAGAGAGAAAAGGAAAGCTAACAATTAGATACACAGTCTAACAACGATGTACATGCGATTGATAGATGAAGAATGTTGAAGAATCAAACGTTAGCATACATACAACTGTTTTAAGGTTAAAGCAGGAAAGGACGTCAGGTGAAACAAACAGGGCTTGTAATTACAATCATCTGTATTGTTGTAATTTTTAGAATATCAAATACCGTGTTGCACATGTTTCCAAACATTTCAGGATACTGTTTATTTGATTGAAGAACTCTCGAAAGACCTGAAACAGCATGGGTTTATTCTTTTACAAGAAGACATTAGACGGACGATGGATTTAATGGAAGAGTTCACATTCAACCATAGAGTAAAGATTGCATCAGACATATTCAAATGTGTAAGTAGAAAGTAATTAAATCGGAAGTAGTTAAACTTTGTTCTGATAATTTTTTGCAATGCCTTGTAAGAAGAATGTGTATTTTAATGTACTTTTGACCAAAGTACAGGACGCAATATGATCAAAGTTTTTGTCCATCATAAATAGATGCTGGCATTATTCTTAAACGTCACGTTCCGCTATACACAGAGGATGCCATCTGACAAATGATTTAAAGTTTGGGGACTGTGTCAATCGCATTTAACCCATTGAACTAGAAATAAAGGATACCACAGATACAGTTAAGTTTGCCTCATATCTTGCTTTACATCTAGATATTGACAACAAAGGTCTGTTTGGAACTTTATTTTTCGAAAAAATTATATTTCAAAGGGACATAACAGCCTTACAAAATATTTAACTACATCGGCGCCGGTTTTCTCCGAACTTGTTGCAAATATAGCTGACAATAAACCTTGGCACAAATTTCGTTAAAACCCAAAGAAGGAAAAATGTTAGTTCAATTTTGAGTATTATTTACATTTGGAAGGAACATAACTCCCTAACAAATAAATCGATCGGCATCGATTTTTTTTACAAACTCTTCCAAGATATTGCTCTTACAAACCTTTTACATAAATTATTATTGAGATCTAATGAGAAATGTAGGCATAAGAGAGCTTACAATGGTGTTTTCCATAATTCTAACATATTCAAGGAACATCCAAAAAAACATGAATAATCGATCGGCGCCGAATCATCGAAGATATTGCTGAAATACTGAATTTTCATCAATTTCATGAAAATTGGATGATGTCTGCAGGTACAAGAACATTTAAAATGTTGAACGGACATCAGCATTTCCAGATCCCCTCTTCTCTCCACGCCGGGAGAGACAATAATTGCATTTTAGTAGAATTCATACCTAATCAAATACTAGCTGATTTCTAAAGAGAATTGAAAAGTTGATGAAAGGAATACATGCTGAATCGTCAATAAACGCTAATAAATCTATTTTCTATATATAAACCCTATAAGATGGATTATTAAATCGTTATCTATTAACAGATTTTTTTATATATAACATCCCAGCACACCATGATTACCCATACATTTTATCTTTAAAAATGTACTAATTCTACCTGTACAAAGATTTAAATGCAGAAGTCAATGCATAAGAGAGACGAAAGATGCAAAAGAGATATTCAAACTTATAAGTCGAAAACAAACTGACAATGCCACGGCAAATCACGAAAAACGATCAAAAGACAAACAACAGTATACAAACACAACATGGAAAACTAAAGACTGAGTAGCAAGAACCCCACCAAAAACCGGGTGTATTCGTTGGTGCTCCGGAAGGGTTTGCAGATCCTGTTGCACCCGTCAAGTTGCTCATGTAAGTACAAATCCGGTAAGTCTTATTCGGTATGTCAAAGTCAAGGAAAAGGGGACTGGATTGTGGCTACGACAATTGGAACATATTCGTCGTCATCTGCGAAAGAGATATTCCATAGGGGCCAACCAACTCGTGATGGCGTCCGTAAAATTTTCAATGGGATGATTCAGCTTCACCGCTTGAAGCTATTGCTTTAATTGCTTCCTTGTAAATAACAACCCTATAATATATTGTCTTTTCAAAGGACTCCACATTTTTCACATCTGAAATTTTAAGAATATGTGCAAGTTATCAGACTAACAAAAATGGTACTAATTTAAGCGCTGAAGACATTTTTTTTTTCTGGAACAACAATTCTCAGGTATGCCCGAAACCAAAAGTTTTTGAAGACTTACACAACACGATGTGTAGTACCAAAAGCAGTAGTGTCAAACAATATTGTCAACACTGACTTACGAATTCATTCACAGCATTATTTTTCTAGGACTAATTCTTCAACATTTAAAAACTTCCAAAATTTATATTTAAAGAAGTGTTGGTGTAACCATTGTAATTGTCTTCATTGAAAACGTTTTCGCTTTATTATTCAATTTGTTAAATTTTCATATCAGAGGAAGTATTGCTGATTAGTGAATGGAATGCGTTAGAAAGATAGTCATATTGAAAGAAACAACACCATGACTGAACGGCAAAGCTGTTATGTTTGTTCTGTTTTGTAGCTTACCTACATTAAACTTATTACGTATTCTAGCAATCCATTCTCGTCAAATTTTAAATGTCATATTTGTCAATATTTGCACAAAGTTAAACAGACGCCATTACAAGATGGTTAATCGTTATAATATATCTTTGTCACAGATGACCACGAAAATGTTTGAATTAGCGTAACCACAATCCCGTCCTGTATTTTTTAATTCTGACATCACCGAATTATTCTTATCAACGGATATGTACTTACCATGAACACCATGACGGGTGCCACATATGGAGCAGAACCAGCTTACGCTTCCAAGGTATCTGAAACCCCCTGGTTTTGTTTAAAAGGGGTTCGTGTTGCTCTTGCTTTAGTTATTTGGTATTGTACTTTGTGCTTTTTAATTTTTTGATGTCTTTGTTGTTTTAACTGGTCACAGTCTTGTCTATCCTTTGTCCTGAAAAAGCATGTTTCAATTTCAAAATTTCACATTTGGCCAAGTTTAATGGCTAGAAAATTTTGCATGACCGACGTTTTACGTATTTGGTGATATAGACGTTAATTACCATTGTGATAGTGCGTGATACCTAATCACTTGATATATCGTATCAACGTACTTTAAATGAGTAGGAGCTGGATCTGCTCACCCTTCCGGAGCACCTGAGTTTACCCCTCACCTTGGTGAGGTTCGTATGGCTCAGTCTTTAGTTTTCGACGTAGTGTTTTGTGGACATATTGATTTTTTCGTTGTTTTTCGTTTTTTACCATGGTGTTGTCAATTTCTCTTCGACTTATGAGTTTTGAATGTCCCTTTGTTATCTTCTACCTCTTTTTTAATACCGAGATTAAAAACGAAAAACATTTACTGTGAATTAATATTTACACACTGATATTTTGGGGCAAATTGTATGCACATTTAACGTATACTGTAAATTCAGAAATTAATGCGTTCATTTATTATTGCGATTTTTGAAAAAAGGACAAAAATGCGAGATTTATTATTGCGATTTCAGAAACATTTGCTTAAGATATGTGTATCAGATTTCAGAATGCGAGTTCTTATTATTGCGATACTAAATGAGTCGCATTATTCGCATTAATAAAAACCTCGCAATAATTTCTGAATTTACAGTAGTTATTTGTATATGAGGCTCACTACAGTTACGCAGAGGTACATTAGATGTTGTACTTGGTCTTTCTTCTACGTATGGATTGTGATTTTCACTTTGTTACCTTTTTCTTTTTTTGTAATAATGAATTTAAAATGTAGGAACTGCAAAGTAGGTTGACAACAATTTTTATTTGAAGTGCTAATAGAAAAGAGGATATTTTGGATAGTAGAAAAATTTTGCGTTGCAACAAGCCACCCACGAACCCCTCGAAGAGTTGTTGCAGCCTTGACACTCTCCCTTTACGTCAATATCGCGACTGCACATGGCTGCGTATTTATAAATCCTGCACAGTCATACGGACGCCCTAAACATTGGTCTGACTGTCCTACTATTGATAACGTCTCATCAGGTACGCTCATATCCAAAGGATTTTTTGTTGACGATTTATAAAAACATTTGAATAACATACTATTACAATTTTCTTGGAACTGACATGTCACCATCAGATACCGTATAAAGACACAATGTTGGAACATCGCAGTCAAACATACTTGGACTTCAAACATTTCTAGCATCCGAGTTGATCACCCAATTTTTGGTTGGGTTCGTGTTGCTCAATATTCATAGCTTTCTGTGTGGTGTTTTGTATTGTTAGTTTTTGTCTTTTTGTCATTTTTCTGTTTATCCATGGTGTTGTCTGTTATTGTCCCCTGCTTATCCCTTCTGATTGCCCTCTTTGTAACTTCTCCCTCTTTTTAGACTTTGTTGATCGTTGTGCATATATGTATATAAATAAGTTGTCGCATTTCATATTATAAAGTTTTCCTTAATTTGGGGAGTTGGGGGCTCATGGCAGAACTTTGTTTCTGTAAAGTTTTTTTCACAACTTTTATAAAATGGAAATGATTTTGAGCTTGTCATATTTTTTGCTCACCTGTCTATTGTTGAAGATTTTATGTTACCCTCTAGATGTCTACTGATAATTTGTGTCATTGGGTTGCTGTCTTTTTGATGTATTATAATACCCCACATCTCCTTTTATTCACATAGATTAACTTTTACGGAACATGTAGCATTTACATTTCTTTTTTTTTTCCATGGCTCAAAAATTACTTTAATAGAAAAAAAGGAAGTAAAGAACATATATTTTTCATTAACTTTTGTTAACTATAATTGAAGAAATCAAAGACCATTGATTTTGGCTGTAACATTAAGTCCATCAACTGTTTTCCAGATTACATTGTTGGAAGTATTTAAAATATTTGTTTAGGTGGAAAAATTTTCAGATGTTTTTGCAATTACACACAAATGTCAGTTTTAGAAAGTGATTATAAAAGTTAAGCAGAAAAATATAATGATAAAAGTAAACAGATTTAAAACTTTGGTTCGTGACTTATATCCTCATTTAAGGGCAATCACTCCTATAAAAAGTGACAGTCTACTAACTCCAATAAGGAGTTGTCGATTGATTTCCTGCATTTTGTCTTCATTGTTTAAGTTTCTGTCTATCTATACAAATTTTTAAGATATAAGGCAAAAACGCAAAAAATTGGTAAAAATCGTCATCAAAGGGCAATAACTCTACCATAAGACATATTTGTAGAACTTGTCTAGCTGGTCATTTTTGCGATTTAAAGTTTCTCTCTATCTATTATAGTTTTCAAGATAGTAGGCAAAAATAAAAAAAAAAAAAGTAAAATTTGTCATTTAAGGGCAATAACTCTTACAAGAAGTTTTGACGTATATAGAACATTGGTAGAACTCAACATTCTGAACATTTCTGTTCAAGTCAGATTTTCTTTATTTATAACGTTTT